CAAAGTATTCAGAACACTTATTATGTACATAGGTGTAGTATGGGTGTAGAGCAGGACCATGAGACTCTTCTACATGTGGGAAGGGTACAAACCAGAAAAGACCTGATGGGGTCAGAGGCACAGCTCAGTAGTAGCTTGTTTACCACATGTGAGGCCCTTGATTTGATCTTCAGCACCCAAAAAAAAAAAAAAAAAAAATTATGCCAGCTAATACTTGGGCTAAAAACAGCAAAACAAAACTTGAATTGAAGGAGGGTATAAGGACAACCAGGACATCACAGTGATTGTGTTCACAACAGACAAACATGGGGAATGCTAGGTGTTGTGGCATAATCTCAGCACTCTGGAGATGAAGCAGAAAGATGGTGAACTCAGGGTCACATATATAGGCTAGATATGAAGTTCAGGCCAGCCAAGACTACATAACTAAATCCTGTCTCAAAACACAACAGAAGGAAGTGGGAGAGATGGCTCTGCGCTGTTGCTCTTGCAGAGCCAAGTTGCATTCTTAGCACCCACATGATGGTTCACATCTATCTGTAACTTCAATTCCAAGGTATGCAATACCTTCTTAGCTCCTTAGGCCCATGCCCACATGTAGTACACATATATTCATGCAGGCAAAACAAACATAAAAATTAAAAAAAAAAAAGGGCTAAAACAAAACAAAAAGCAATTAAACAATCCAGAAACAAAACATGGGAAGGATAGAGGGAAAACAGGGCTGCAAATGCCTCTGATATGAGGCTGGGTTGTTTAGCCTTTCTCTCTGTGAGAAAGAGCCACAAAAGCTCACTGCTCCATCTCTTTTGTGAGACAGGGCCTTCCTGTGTAGTTCAGACAGCCTTGAAGTTACTTGCTTCTGCCTCCTAAGTGCTGGAATTACAAGCATTTGTTGCTACACTTGGTTCTAGAAGGAGTTTTAAATTTTACATAGTCAGCTGTAGCCAGTGGACTGACTGTTACAAGGCAACATAGAGAATAGCTGAGAATCATCATTAGGTACCAGAACTTACAAACACAGTGGTAGAGTTTGTGGAGAAGGGTTCCTAATTCAAGGAAAGCGGTGACCTGACACACTGAATTAGTTAACAAGCCACCTTGGGCCAGCACATGGGGAACTAGACAAAGAGGAAAGAAGCTATGGGCATGTGGTGGAGTGTGGGAACCAGGAATGACAGTATTTTAGATGTTTGCAATAGCTGGTTCCATTCCTCCTTAGGGTTGGGGATTGAGTCCTGGACATCCCAGACACACTAAGTGGGTTTTTGTTTTTGTTTGTTTTTTCTGAAGTTGGGGGATAGTGCTGAGGATGGAACTCAGGGCTTTGCACATGCTAGATAATTGCTCTACCACTGATCTATGTCTCTAATCATTTATGTATGCATGTATTTATTTATTTTAATTGAGATTAGGCTTCATCATGTAGCCTGAGGTGGCTTTCAACTGACAATTCTCCTGCCTCTGCCTCCCAGATGCTGGGAATACAGTTGAATGCCACCATGCCTGGTATTTGGCTAAGTTTCAAAAATTCATTAATTCAGACACCACCTTTTGAACTCCAAGTTCACTAAGTAAGAAGGTACTTCAAGAAAAGATCAACTTTCAGTCATGAAAATCTTAGGTTATTCAATGAAGAGACAAAAAAAAAAAAAAAAAAAAAAAAAAAAAAAGAAGCTGGCCATGGTGATGCATGCTTTTATTACCAGCACTCGGGAGGCAGAGACAGGTGGATCCTATGAGTTCAAGGCCGGCCAGCCTGGTCTACATAGCAAGTTCCAGGATAACTATGAACACAGAGAAACACTGTCTCAAAAAAACAAAAATAAAACAAAAACAGTCAATAACAATAAAAAAAATCAAGTGCCAGTCCCTAAACAATGGAGTTATAGGGAAAGACCCTATTATCTTTCCTGAGAACTAGAGCCACTCTAGCTGCTCAGGGATAAGCGGGCTACTCTCTCTTCCAAGAAATTTACCATAAAGCCTAGTCTATACAGTTAACTACGTCAGACTCTACCAAATCTCTATGGAGTATAATCTGCTCAGCTGATGGTGGGCATCAGAAGCACACACCACAGGCATGAGGCAAAGATCCAGTTGGTCTCAGGCAGCAAACAGGTTATTTGTGTATCAGCTAAACCCACTGGAGTGAGTTAAAGTGCCTGCTATAGTGACCTGGGTCCCCCCAGCAGGAGTAACAGGGTGCTGAGAAAACAATCAGTTCTCAATTCTAGCCTCTACATGTACATCACTATCACCAGTCAACTACAACTTTCAAACATCTAGTTTCCTTTATGTAATATGTGATTACTATCTAAGTACCTTGAGTACTTTTCCTGGCATTCAATTTCCTGTCTGTAGTATTTGACCTAGCCTAAACAGTCTCCTCTCAGACCTCCTCTATTTCCCTCACCACCACCACCTCCATTACCATCACAGTACCCAAACAATCCTCTTTTACATTAACAACACTACACAACAACTTTGTCAACTTTCTGACCTGGAAACTCTTATCTGGCAAGAGTAGTCCCAAAAGATAGTGGGAGCCCAAGTAAAACTCAGATGAATTGGAAACATATGGGTTTGCAGATGTTTGGGACTTAATCTAATCAGAGCCACAAAGTCTGTAATTTGCCTTCAATCTATTAAGAACACAGATTTAGGGTTATCCACCTTTTGTCAGAAAATCAGTTTCAGAGCAACATTAAGCCTGGGGTTTACATTTTAGGGGAAAATGCAAGTTGCAGTGAAGGAACAGAGACTCCAGCATATCTCTTGACTCTAGGCCCAAAACTCGCTAAACAGACACTGCACCAGGCCTCTGAGCCACGGCGAGTTAAGGGGCACAGGGCCAGTCCTCCAAACACTGGAATTTGAAGGCAAGGAAACCAGAAGGATTGGGTAGATTCTGAGAAGCGGCCTTACTTTACCTTAGGCAAAAACTCTTAAAAAGGCCAGGCACAATGGTCTGGCACAGGATGGGGAGGGGTAACACCCAAGGGTCTGCGCCATTCTCTGGCTATGCCCAGGGATCACCCATGACTCCAATCTCTGCCCTCCGCAATCAAACGGGAGGATCCAGAGCCAGTCTAAAGTGACATGTGGCACCGAGGACGGTTCAGATCTACGCCAGAGGTCGGCCTCTTGGCCAAAAGCCCACCCACTCAAATCCCGGGTCACCTCCGGCGGGCCGGTCCAGCTTGAGGATGTCCCGCAGATGCTGCGTGGCGTCCTCGATGTCGATGCTCGCGCAGGAGGCCATGGGCCCAGCCGCGAAAGTCCTGCTCGTATGACGTTAGTTCCTCTACCTCCGTGCACTGTCCCAATTTCGCCCAGCCTCGACCCCGCCAGAAAGCAGGGGACCGAGCACTACAGAAAATTTACCCGCAGTTCGCAAACCGCCGCCCGAGATGCGTCTGTGAGCCCCGCCAACCCCACTAACCGCCTCCACTTCCGGTCCTACTGACCTTCGCTCCCGGAACCTACAGAGACAGCAGAAGAAAGGTTCCGAGCTCTGGGAGACCAATTCGTTCCTATCCTTTTTAGACTTCCTAGGTTGTTTACTTTTAGGCTAGTGCAGCAGTGGAGAAATTTCCCAAGACTGAGAAAGAGCAAATGTGCTCATAGAGCACTGGGTTGCCTAAAACCCTGAGGTCTCTGGAGACCCAATCCAGGTCTTGGCTCATTCTCATGAACTCTGAATAATACAACAGAACCAACTGTACCACCCAGGTAGCGACTTTTGAGACCTTGAAAAAAGTGAATTGGTAGAAGTCTGTTTCCCCTTAGGAGTAAGCAAGATCTAGACACTTGTGAGGTCTTAAACCCCAGGAAGATGGTTACTACTACACAAATTACTGTCATTGTTTCTGACTGTCCCCAACATCCCCTTGCCCCACATGGCAATTTCAAATTAGGAATAAAGAAACCATAGTTTACAAACACTTCTTTATTGCAGACATTTCAGGCACAGGTACATGGAAGAAGCTGTATTGCAGATTTTATACAGGGTGGATTAAGAGGCAGATGATATCTACCTCTCCCCCACCCCTACTTCCCCCAATACACAGCAGCTTAGAGATCAGTCCCACTGATACCTCCTGTGTGCTGTCCAGAACTGTGCTGGTGTAACCAGGCAACCTGTGGAGTATGAGGAAAGTTACTCCCCCCACAGTGCGAGATTTGGGGGGAGGGGAGAGTTTTCAGGTATGCCCAACCAATCCTAGGCTGCAGCTGCTATTTTAATACCAGCTTTATACTATCCAGAGGTCTCAAGGATGAAAAGCTAGATTTGTACTGGGCAAGACCTGTGCCCAAACTAAGGAGCAGGGCAGAAACTGCCCTAATAGTTAAGACTTCCTGGGATTTGAAGAGCGCATAAGGTGTGTGTGGAGGGTAAGGAGGTGGTACCCTGCAAAAGTCTGGAGGGGAGAATGAGAGCATGACTCCTTCACACTGATTTCTTCTGTATTGTGGAATTTATACTCCAACTCAGTGGGGCCCGGTTGACATACCAAGCAGGTAGTACAGCATCTCTTGCTTTGCTCAGGGAATGTGGGAATTCTGTGATCCTGACCCTTTTGGGAATGGGATAGGTCCATCTGGGACTTCATCCTGGAGAGTCTAAATATGGGAAACCATATTTATCAAGGGCTTTCTAGAAGTTACAGGAGAATCATCTATCCTGCTACTAGACGTGAATCTACTCAGAGCAGAGGCCACAGGAGGTGTCAAACAGAACTGACTTTAGAGCCTTCAGTACAAGACAAGCTTCAGGCCAGACCTGCTTCCAGCTCTCCCTGCTTTCCAAAGACCAAGTGGGTTGGAGAGAACTCTGGCCTAGCAGGCTTGAGAAAACTTAGTTGGGACTGGTAACTTCAGTCAATTTGCTCCTTGTAGCAGATACTGTTAAGGTGAGGCAGAGATGAGAGGGTGAAATAAGAGACAATGGGCCAGAATTGTTGATGCCCAGCCAACTACTTAACTAATTAAAACAATTTAAACTGTTAAGAAAAATTTTGTGGTTTTATTGTATCATGAGGCATTGAAACATCTGAACAAATCAATATCTGGGCGGTGAGGCAGCTGCTTTCTCCTTCACTTCTTTGGGTTACTAGAGCAACTTGTCAGTAGATTAAAAAACAAAACAAAAACAAAAACCGACAATCTTTTGCATTACTTAAGTCTTTCCAAGGCATGCGCTGGTACAACACAAACTTCTCCTGTCAGATGCAACTAGTCTAGCATCCAAACATCATGCACAACGCCTGGTGACAGAAGCGCGCTGCACCCACTCCCACCTCGGCTCTGCTCGTTTGTGTATGATATTTGGAACATCTGGAGGAGTGAGATAGTATTGGGAAGAGGAGGGAGGAGGAAACAGCGCGAGTATCTGGCCAGGTGGAGGTCAGCCGAAGTTGTGCAGGGCAAGCCTGAACATGTCATTGGTGCAAACCCAAGCATCGTTGATGTTCTTTAATAGAAACATCTGGTGAAAACCCATGATGGGATCTTCATCGGCCTGTATGGAAGAAGAAAAAAAAGATTCAGTAAGAGGGCCAAAGAACAGGAAGAATGTTCAGTGGTAGAATAAGGCAGAGAATACAGACCTGAGGATCAGGCACTTACTGTACCAAATGCCAGTACAGAATAGGTACCTATGAATGTGAACTACTGTGTGTGAAACACTGCTGGTCATGTAGAAGTCAATAAATGGCACTTACATTGCCATGTTTCATTAGAAAGGCATCACATCTTACCAAATAACCAAGCAACAGTGCCAAAGACTTGCCTGTCTCTGGGCAGATGTGATCAAAGAATGTAAAGACTCTGTTAGCACTTATTATTTAATTTATACTATCAAAAAAACCATAAGCAATGGTATGTGTTCAATAAAGCCAACTAGTCCAATCTGGAGAAATTACTGCTAAAACAGACCGGGTCTGAGTAAATAATTTAAGGCTCAAAACTGAGTTCACATTGGGCATGGTGGGACATGCCTGCCAGTGTGTATGACAAAACTATTTAAAACAAACAAATATAAGAATCAAACAAGCAAATAAGCCCCCTCCCCATATTTAAAACAAACATAAGAATAAAACAAGCAAATATGCCTCCTCCCCAAACCCAAATAAGCAAAAATACAAAGTTCACAATAGGATCACAATTTTATAAGTGGAGTAGGATGGAGGAATGACCAGCATTAACACCGCAGCAGAAAAAAGACCCCAAACCTCTAAACAGAATTCAGAAAATGAGGATAAGGCCTAGTTAACAAAGAGTCTCCAACATCACTTCTTTTTCTAAGAAGTACAGTCAACAAGGAGGCATATTGGTCATCTGAAGCTCCAGGATGCATAAAAACCCCAGGAGGAATACAAAACTAGGTGTGAAGAGGTACTGTTTATTACTTCAGCTCCTTGGAAATACCCAACCCTAAGGGCTTATGGGTTACAGGTTCTGGACAGAGCATTCACAAAGGGCAAGAGGAACTAAAAGAGTAAGGCTGGACTTGTAGACAGTCCTTCTAGGTCCAATATAGAGGCACAGACACTCTCTTTCCACATACCTATTGGACCCAAACACGACTACCCCCCCCACCCCTATATTGGATTCAGGGTCAGCCAATTTGTCCTGCTTTAGGAAGAGGCCTTTGGAAACACTATTTGACCATAAGGATGACAGGTCTTAAGAGGGGTAAAGGAACCAGGCATAATGACACATACCTTAAAAAGAGCAAGGTTGTGCTCAAAAGGTAAAGGCACTTGCCCTATAAGCCCTGTGATAATGAGTTGGAAGGAAAGTTTTCCTCTGACCTCCACATAGTGTTGTAGCATACACAGAATACACCCATCATGTAAACACACTAACATATGCACAATATTGCTTTTTCACTACATTTTTTTTTCTTAAGAGACAAGGAAAATACAACAAAGCTGGACTTCCAGATACTTGGTCTGTAAATCCCAGCTTGGGCCAGGAGGGGTGATATACTTCTTTCATCTTTTAGTACTTAGCAAGCAGAGGCAGGAGGATCTCTGTGCATTCAAGGGTTTGTTCTACATAGCAAGACCCTGTCTCAGAGAAAGACTCAGAGTACCATTGAGGGCTGTAGGAGAATATTGTCTTTCAGCATCCAACTTGAAGTCTACCTATTTCTCAGGGTGATATAAGAGCCCAAGAGTTTGCCAGTACAGCTTGACCTGCTCCTACAAATCTTGTTCCTTTTCCATAAAGGCTCTAGACCAGTGTTCTTCATTAGAACATTCTGCAACCATAGCCACTAGCAATGTGACTAACGCAACTAAGAGATCCAGCCTCAAAATACATACATCATACATATATATGAGTGCACGGGCACGTGTGCGTGCGTGTGTGCACACACACACACACGCACACACACACACAGAAACTGTTGTGAGATTGAGAGTACTCAGTTGGAGAAAGTACCCACTTAGCATATACTCAATGCCTAGCACCAAGAAAAGGAGAAGGCAAGAAAGGTCAACTGCACATGGCTCATGGTCATCACATTAAGCAGTGCAGGTGATGGTGGCACACATCAACTACTTTAGTGCAATATCTGAGTTTGAGGCAGCCTGATCTAGAGTGAGTTCCAGGACAGCCAAGGCCACACAAAGAAACTATCTTGAAAAAAACCAAATTAGAAAAAGGAAAAAAAAAAAAAAAAAAAAAAAAAAAAAAGGGGGGGGGATGAGCAGGTGCTCTAGGCAATCACTTTGATGGCTTTTGTTTTGACAAGTCACTTTAGATGTTCCTCAATAAACAGATCACATCCTTATATTCACAGAGCTTCTGCCTACCCACTATTGCCCTCCAACACAGTGGCACTACTACCTTGAGCTGGCCTACGACCATGCTGATGATACAGCTATCTGGTGTAGGCTGATGGTCCTGCGCCGTGATACTATGCTGGATTTTCTGGAAGGGAAGGCTCTGCAAGAGAAAGAATGGAGGGTAGGCTGAGGTCAGAAGGGGCACGACAGAAGCTACCTGTATTCTAGTCCTGGACCTTACTTACAGACAACTTCTCCACAATGGCAGCTTTCCCCTGGAACTGCTGTCCTTCCCACGTAAGGCATGATGCATCAATCTGTAAAGTGCATAGGAAATGTACAGTCAAGGCCTCAGCACTCTAAGGCCCTGCCTCCTCCCCCATCCCCAAAGTTTTCAAAAGGGTCTTGGGAAAACAAGCCCATACATGCTTACTTGTCTAGAAACAAAGAAAAATTAAAATCAAACCCCAAATTTAAGTAAATAAATAAGAATCCCAAATTTATACCAGCAATTAATTTCTAAATTGGAAGGTTTTTTATTTCTGCGGGGCCTCGTGCCTTTAATCCCAGCACTCAGGAGGCATAGGCAGATGGATCTCTGAGTTCAAGGCCAGCCTATTATACAGAGCAAGTTCAAAAAAAAAAAAAAAAAAAAAAAAAAAAAAAACAAAAAAACAAAAAACAAAAAACATTTTTTGAGACAAAGATTCACATTGTAGCCCTGGCTGGCCTCAAACTCAAAGGATCTGTTTGCCTGCCTCACCTTTCAGTGCCTCCATTAAAGACTTATGCCACAATGCTCAGCAAACTTTCTACATTATATCCCATTGTTTCACTCTAAAATATTATCAGCCGGGTGGTGGGAGTTCACAACTCTAATCCTAGCACCTGGGGGGCAGAGGCAGGTTGCTCTCTGAGTTCCAGGCCATCCTGATCTACAGAATTTCAGGTCAGCCAGGATTACACAGAGAAAAACTTTGTCTCTAAAAATCAAAACAATTACCAGGTGTAGGCGGTGCACACCTTTGGTCCCAGCACTCAGGAGGCAAAAGCAGGCAGATCTCTGTGAGTTCAAGGCCAGCCTGGTTTACAGAGCTAGTTCCAGGACAGGCTCCAAAGCTACAGAAAAACCTTGGCTAGGAAAAAAAAAAACCAAACCAACAAAACAAAAAATCTAAAAACAAAACAATACAAAGTTTATTACAGTGTAGTTATTACCTCATGCACTGTGAAACAGTCTCACTGTGTAGTCCTGGCTGACCTAGATCCTTCTACCCCTGCCTCCCAAGAACATTAAAGGGGTGTGCTACCAATGTCGGCCAATAAGAGGCAACTTTAGCCTGAAAGCTTGAGACATTGTGGCAGGGTGATGGAGTGTCTGAAGCAGGCCAAAGCTACGTAGTGAGGTCTTATGCGGGGTGGAGATGGGATGGGCGACAGGAGAGGTGGGAACTACTGCTCCTTCCAACTGTGACATTAGGCAAGTTGTAAGTTGTTTATTTTTCTAAGTTTTAGTTTTCCCATTCTTCAAAGGGGAAACATTTGAGTGATTATGCAATAATATACATGAAGTATTCTTTTAGGACTTTCCTAAGATAAATGTCTTTTAGGAGGAGAGGTGTCAAACCTGCTTTAATTATTTTACAACAACCTTGACTCCCAGCCTTTTAGAAGGCTGAGGTAGAAGAATCTGGGTCTGAAGCCAGTCTGAGCAAAATAGTGAAATCCCTGTGTCCAAAAGAAGAGGCAATGAGAAGGGCTGACTGGGAGAACAGAACAGTGGTAGAGCACCTGCCTTCCATGCATGAGCACGTGGGTACAATCCCTCTAACTCATAATGACAATTTACATCACCTATGATGAATTTAGTCTCTCACTGCGAAGATGCTTTTCTTTTTTCCAAAATATCTGAATGAATCCTGACATTCTGGAAGAGATACTGACAACTTCTGACAGCCCAAACAGGCTCTAAAGCTACTCCTGTCATTGTTAGCCTGACTAAATGCCCTTATGTGAGTGAATTTCAGGAGTCAAGAATATGAGTAAATGAGTATCCTTAAAACACCAAGTGACAGGCAGTGGTGGTGTACGTCTTTAATCCCAGCACTTGGGAGGCAGAGGCAGGTGGATCTATGTGAGATCGAGGCCAGTCTGGTTTACAGAGTGAGTTCCAGGATAGGTTCCAAAACTACAGAGAAACACTGTCTCAAAAAAAAAAAAAAAACAAACAAAAAAACAAAACACACACACCAGGTAATACCTGCCTGCCTAGAAGACTACACCTGTTAACTATTTGATCCCCACCAGCACTCAGGTGCTCTGGGCTCAAATAAAGCTGCACATGGGACTACCAGAAGCTAGCTTTGCGTTGAAAATGCTCATGGCTGTTGAATCCAGAGGAGGAGTCCTAGTCTCTGGTTGCTGCTACTTTATGTGGAAGAGAGGTACTCCTAGGACTATGTGCCCTGATAAAGTGCCAACCACATGGAATGGCAAAGCCCAAACTTCTTGTTCAGGATACCACAATCCCCACTCTTGATATCCAAATTAATTTCCTAGGGACCTACTCTGGCTCTCAAGTTGGAGACTTACGTAAATTGCGCCTAGTTGGGTTCTGTCATTATCAAATAACTGGTAGTAATGCTGAATAAAGCTTGATCCAATCTGCTCCCAAATTGGCTTGTCTCCCATCCTGGAGAGTCACCCACCTCACCAAGACCTGCAAAGACCAGCAAGACAAAGACAAGTGTTAGTTAGTACCACACAAGCATGAAGAAGCCAGCCACTGATCTTTGTCTTCCTAGCCTTCTCATGCAGGTAAATCCTCTGGTGATACCTGTTCATTCAGGGAATGTGACAAAGCCCTGGGGATCTCACAGGAGACCTCACCCAACCCCAACCACATTTAGCGAGTCTTCCAAGCTTTAAGTTGATGACAGAAGGGGACCAGTTATACAAGATGGGTGCTGAGGTTGTAACTGGGACAAAGGAGTATCAGAATAGCCCTATAATGTCCAGTAAGGGGAGAAGGAACTAAACACCGACTCTAGCTCCACAATTTCCTTTAATCTTCTCAATAACCCCTAAGGCCAGTTACTGCCATTCTACCCATTAATCAGACCAGAAACTACTGATGTTTCTGTGTAATACGTTTCTCTTTTAGCCTTCAAGCTTCCAACACTGTCCCAAGGATGTGCTGGAATGGGGGAGAGGAGGAGAGATGACGACGATGACTATGACACATGACTTCTAAAGACTCCACTCTGACCACAGCAAGTCCTAAGGAGCCACCTAACAATTCTGAGGGCAGGTGACTCTTGAACTGGTCTTTTCTGCTGTTATTTCTTCATTGGTAATAATATTCTCTACTCACTTCAGAGCTGTGACAGAAGGATGCAAATGGGAAATAGATGGAGGCTGTGAGTGGGAAACAGCACCTCTGAACATCATCATCATCCTGTCTTAACAACTGCCCTGTTCCTGAAGGGGAATCCCTACCAAGCTAGAAGCCCACGATCCCACGGATACTGATAAAAAGCCACATTGACGCCCACCCTCCAAACCCATGTGTTATTCTGTGTGCATCTGCAGACGAGCATATCCTTGTCCTGAAAATATGTCTGAGACAAAACAGAAGGTAATTTCACCCCAGCAGAATACCATCAGCTGCAGTAGGAGCTAATACAAGTTACTGCTTCTAGGGCTTCCACAAACTCCTCTGCAAAGCGGAAGATGTCAACATGGAGGTTGCTGGTGGTTACATAGGGTCTTCGACAATGAAACTTAGTAAAGTGACTGCTTGACATAGTAAGTACTAACTTACTACAGTCACTATGACCTTGGACAAGGCCAGAGAAGCCAGAGTTAGGGACAGTGTAGAGGAATAGAGATAAATCCAATTGTCTAGCTTATGACGGATATTCTAGCCAATGAAGGGCCAGGAAATGAAGCCAGTTTTATTTTAAGTTCCCTAGGAGGTAGTTGCACTAAAAATAGAAACTCTACGCTCAGATGACTAAGAAATGTCCAGGAAAGTCTAAAACAAGCAGAAGAGAAAGCTTGGATCCACCCACGCCTGTACACAGGAACATAAGGTGTGTCCCAACTTAATTTGTGCCAAGAAACCAATCAATGGAAGCATAGGACCTACTACTAGTTTCACAAGCAATCTTGGTCACATTTCCAACTTTCCACATTTCCCTACCCTCACACCTCTGCCCCTTCTACCTTAGTTTTCACTCAACATGTCCCAACCCCACAAAAAAACCCAAGATACTTTGCCCAGTTCCCAAGAGCTCTTGAGAAAAGCTGAAGAAATAATGATCATCATTCCTCCTTCTGCCCCCAGCCTGCATCAAGGTTGGACAGTTCTCAGGGGAGATCCTAGAAAAGAACATGCCAAGCAGAAGAAACAGCACCACCAACTGTGTGACACCACCAAAACAGACCAGGGCAGGAAACTAGGGTGTCAGAGATGGAAGTTAGAGAGAGCAAGGCTGGAATTTCAGAAACAAGAACAGTGATGCCACAGGGTAAGACAAGAGTGGCATGAGAAGTAGAAGGGTGTTCTTTCTTTTTCAGTAGCACTGTTCTATCTATCCTATGAACCTATCTATCTGGAATAGTCTCATTATGGAGACTTGTACTGAATGGTCTAGAACTTACTATTTATACAGACCAGGCTGAACTGTTTGTTATTCCTCCTGAGTGCTAAGATTAAAGGTATGTACTACTATGTTAAGTAGGGTTTTGTTTTGTTTTTGCTTGTTTTGAGATAGGGTAGAGGCAGGAGGATCAAAAGCTCAAGGTGTCACTTGGCTACAAGGGAGTTTGAGGCCAGCCTGGGTTAGAGACCCTGTCTCAAAAACAAAACAGCAAAAAGAAAACCCAATAAAAAAGACTGCATAAAGCCCTTTGCTTTAAGGAGATCAAAAGCAGATCTAGGAGCCAATACCAACCTTACTCCAAGCCTGCTCAATCTTCATGCATTTATTCCCATGTACCCAAACATATTATGTTCCACTGTCATCTTGCTTTACAGATATGTAAACTTACATAAGGCTGGACAATGTAGAAGGGTTTGTCTAAAGCTCATTTAGATAGCAGGCTGACACAGTCTTGTATAACTGAACCCTAAACCACAAAGTTGGTCACATGTTTCATTTAACACTGTTGCCTTTGGGTTAAAGCCAAACCCTAAACTAGGTATGCTATTACATTTCTCCAGTCCCAGTACTCAGGCAGTTAAAGGAGAGAATAATGAGTTATAGTAAGTCCAGGGCTACATGGCATACCTGCAATTCCTGTACACTAGGACAGTTGTAAATTTCAGGCAACCAAACTGCACAGTGAAAACTCTTGTTTCACAAAATAATAGAATTCAGGTATGGTGGTGCAGGTCTTTTAACCCAGCACTTGGAGGCAGAGACAGAGGGAGGAGGATCTTTGTTGTGTTTAAGCCAGCCTGGTCTAGATGATAGTGACATACAGGCCTGCAAGAGCTACACAGTGAGACTGTCTCACTCAACCAATCAAGCAAACCAACTAAGACAAGAACAAGAAAGGAACTGAAGAGTATTCAGCTGAATCAGAGTCCTGCTCATGGCAGCAATGTCTGCAGCTCATAACTGCTTGTAACTTCAGCTCCAAATGATCTGATACCCTCTTCTGGCCACACAGACATACAAATACAAAAAACCAAAAACATACAACACAAACTCCTGGGTGTGACATAAACCTGTAAGCCAAGATTTTGGGATGCTGAGGTAGAAAGAATGCTAGAAGACCAAGGTCAGCTTCAGGAAAAACAATGAGTTCAAGACTAGCCTGGGCTACAGAGCCAGAGCTTCTCCCTGCACCCCTACTCCCCCAAAGCAGTGTACGCCTTTACACTGGGAAGGCAGAGATAGACAGATCTCTGTGAGATCCAGCCTGGTAACAAAGTGAGTTCCAGGACAGGCTCTAAAATTACAGAAAAACCCAGTCTTGGAAAACCAAAATAAATAAATTTAAAAAGGGGAAAAAACAAAAAACCGACAGCAAGATGGGATTGGAGAAATGGCTCAAGCATTAGCTGGTCTCCTAGAGAACCTGGGTTTAAATCCCAGAACCTACAACCTCTGCAAATCTGATGCCCTCTTCTGGCCCCCAAGAGCAGCAGGCTTGAACTCCGTGCAGACATTCATTGAGAGAAAACACCCACACAAGTTAAAATATATTTAAAAAGGGAAGACAAAAAAGATCAAACTGTAAGGTCTGCTGGAGGTCATCTACACCCATCCCTATCTTGCCAGCTATTCATTCTACCTGGATCTAGACAGACAGACAGACACACACAGACACACACAGACACACACACACACACACAGACACACACAGACACACAAAGTCCAGTGCTTGCTCACCAGCATTTTTGCAAAGGTGAGTCCCTGGTAAGGATATAACCACTGGCTTGGTCAAATCTTTTTCTTCTTCCCAGGCATTGGTCAGACCCTAATTGTCAACTCATTACCAGACACCAATGTTGACCCACTTGACGTGCAAAACCCATCAACTATCAATATACCCCAGCTCTGTTCCTCTGCCTTGAGGCACTATTACTTCCACGTGGGGTTGCCCTGTTTTGTTTTTTCAAGACAGGGTTTGTTTGTGTAACAGTCCCGGCTGTTCTAGAACTCAGGCAATACACCTGCCTCTGCCTGGGAGTGCTGGGATTAAAGGTGTACCTACCACACCTGGCCACTGTGTCATTTTCACACACATAATCCTCACTCATACATCCTCCCCAGTACAGAACGTTGTAGGAATGCAAACTATAGGTTTAATAGTTTACTCAAAACCAGGTACATAGTTTTCAACTCATACTTTAAAAACAGCACCCCCATGCCCAAAAAGAAAGAGAATGCAGAGGCCCCCTCCCCTCCACATGATTCCCCTGTGGTTGGTGTCCAGACAGGGCTAAATGCTTCCTCAGAATAGCCAGAAAGCTCTGATTGTGTTCTTAACATATTTATTATGAAAGTATAAGCCTGAAAACCAGATTAAGAAATGCAGTCCCACATGACATGAAGAACTATCAGCTGTGGCAAGAAGCTGCTCCTTGAGAACAGCCTCTTTGGACCTTTATGTAACTCTCTGCCAAGCATTCACAAGGGAGGAAATATACAAATCTTGTTAATAATTTCAGGGTGTTCAGACCCTCTAAGAACCCAACCATCAAGACACCTGTAATCCCACCTGTAATCCCAGCACTCAGGAGCAGAGGCAGGAGGATCTCTGTGAGTTCCAGGCCAGCCTGTTCCACAGTGAATTCTAGGACTGCCAGGGCTACACAGAGAAACCCTGTCTCAAAAAAAAAAAAAGAATCCAATCATAGACTCCAGATTAAGAGTTGACCTAAAAGGCTAAAAGGTCTCACTAGGCAAAACAAACAAATAAATAAAAGTATCTTCACTTTTAGATGTCAAGTATCTCCAAAAGCAGTGATCAGCACATCAAGGAGACTCCTGACTCGAAAAGACACAGAGCAAGCAAAAAGAGAAATGTGCAAAAAGCCTTACATGCACTGCCCCACCCCAGCAATACTCATGTCAGAAATGAACAAATCAGACTCAGTGAGTAATCAACTCAGCAGCTACTACACAGTAGAATTCAACTGCCTAGGTTTATCAGGCTCACAGGTTTCTAATGACAACCTGAGTCCTCTTAGAGCTAAAAAAT